TTTTGCCATAGGGCACGTGCGCTCACCAGACAGACAGAGACAGACAGAGAGACAGAAAGCGAGAAATCACTCCCCAGGGGGGATGGCCACGCCATAATCCTTTCTCCTCCAGTCTCCTCTCAGGATCTTGAGCACACACGCACGCATGCCCAGCGTTAGTTTAAGCCATCGGGTCCAGGACTCAAACCACAGTCGACTACATGGGAGTCCAGTGACATAGCCATTATGCCAACTGCTGGCCCCTAAATAAAATAATTATAAAAAACAAAAATACTACTACGCAGGCAGTGTGGTAGTCAAAGGCACGGGATTTCCAGTGGCCAACTGAGGTTTGAATCCTGGACCTGGTGGCATGCTTTCTCCCTTTCCCTTTCTTTCTCTCTGTCACTCTCTGGTCAGAATAATAGTAATAATAACAACAAACGGAATTAAATAAAATAAATAATTCTTTAAAAAAAAATAAAGACAGTAACTGAAGTGCTCTCCTACCCAATTTGATCGGGCAGTCCTTTGGGGTGCGTCACATGATTTCAGTAGATGCTTTATGGTAAAGGTTCAGAAGATCCTATGCAGAAGGTTAAGTGGAAGATGTGTTTCCTGGGTCCGCCTGGAAAGTCTTGTTTCCCAGGACTATTATCCCTGACCCAACCTAACGTCAGCTTCTCAGTTCCATTTCTGACCACTAAGTGGCACCAAAACTTTGACTTGGTTAGGATATAGAAAAAACTCCATTTTTCTGGATTTGCTATCAACCAATTTAATACCTTCTAAAAATAATTCTCTTCTTTTTATCAGTGATCTGGAATATGGTGCCTGTTTGCCCCTTCTTCTTTCTTCTGGTCTATGCTAGAGGGAAGAGCAAGTTTTAAAACAGGTGACGCATTCTTCAGCCTCCCCCACCCTACTGCGGCTCCGGCCATCCGATTTAGCAGCTTTTCTTTGTACCACAGCAGCCTCCGGCTACACCAGGGGGGCGTCTAGAGTTCAAATCGCCAGACCCTTCGGCAAGCTTAAATGGATCCGTAATCATATCCTGTCAAAAGGCAAACCAAAATGAAAGGACACGTTAAAATGCTTTGCTATATCCAAACACTAATATTTCTCTTTGATTAGGTTGATTTATGTAGAAGTGACATACAATTTTACAATTCCATGGGTTCCTGGGGCATAGTATCAGTCATTCTGCTATCAAAGTACTCTCTTCCAGAAACTTCTAATCAAGTTATTTCTACTTTTAAAATAAATCTCACTTAAATCTTCTTAAAAGTGATCCCAATTGAGTCAGAAGAGTTGATTTTGCTTAGTTAATTTTGTTTGATAGGTTTCCCAATTTTATGTGCCTTTTAGCTTTTGGAAATGGGATACCGAAATGCTAACACTTCTCCCCTACCCTCACCCTAACCCCCAGAAACGTGTGCGAGACATGAAAGTAAGTCCCTGCTGGCCCATACACAGCGGCTAAGCACCGCGCACTGGGAGCCGATCATGTGTGGTCAACTACAGTTTGAATCCTGGCCCAACGGTGGCTTAAAAACACACCGGGCACACACGCATGCTTAGAATCCTGATGGAAGGGAAGAATGGAGGGAAGGTGGTAGTGTGAGCACGCCCCAGTAGGAGGCATGAGCGAGCTCGCTCTGCCCTGTGGTGAGTAAAGGGAAATAAAAAGTCCCGTGAGCCAGCACCATAGCACAACAGCTAAGGGCTGCACAGAGGAAGCCAGACCCCACGTGGCCAGCGGAGTTCAAGTCCTGGACTGGCACTGTCAGAAAACACTTCGGTATGCACCCATGTGCCAAGGATCTTGCTGGGATGGAGAACTGGAGAAAAAAGGACTACCGTGTGACCAGGCCCTGTTGGGTGAGTTTCTCTCTTCCTTTCTCATGCACATGTCCTCCTGTAGGAAAGGAAAGGGAAAAGAGGAGGGAGGGAGGGAA